GGCGCGGCGTGTGCGTGTGTGCGTCTGCAACGAAGGACCGCTCGCAGAGGACCATTGGGTTTGTACTATTAACAACGAAGGCGCTCTCAAAAGAAAATTCCCCCTTCCGCCTTCCCGATGGCCTCCCACCGCATCGGCGCCCGCCTGTCTGGCCTCTCGCCAGAGCAGCTCGTCGCCTTCATCGACGAGCAGGCGCCCCTCTGGAGCGCCGCCGCAATGCGCGTGGCGGAGGAGCACATCGCTCGGCTCGTGGAGCAGCCCAAGTGGGTGCTCTCCGAGGTCCTCCTCTCGCCGGACCTCGCCCCGCACATCCTCGCCCAGCTGCCGACCACGGAGCACGCCGTCAAGGGGACGTGCCGCGCGTGGCGCCGCGGCTGGAAGGAGACGCTCAAGAAGCGCGAGAGGCCGCGCCTGCTCGTGTTCGGCGGCGAAGACATCGATGGACGCGTCATCAACTCGATGGAGCGGTACGACCCGTCAACAAACGAGTGGGAGGAGGAGGCTGTGGCGCCGATGTCTACAGCACGAACGTATGTCGGCGCTGCGGTGCTCGACGGCAAGCTCTACGCGGTGGGCGGCATGAGTGAGGCTGACGACATGACTTCCAACCTGGTGGAGCGGTACGACTTGGCTGCGAAGTTGTGGGAGGCGGTGGCGCCGATGGCAGAGGCGCGGCAATTTCACGCCGTGGCGGTGCTCGACAGCAAGCTGTACGCTGTGGGCGGCCTCGATGACGAAAATGGCCGCCTCATCTCGGTGGAGCGGTACGACCAGGCGTTTGATGCATGGGAGGCTGTGGCGCCGATGGCGGAGGCGCGGGGGGCTCCCGCCGTGGCGGCGCTCGACGGCAAGCTCTATGTCGCAGGTGGATTGGGTACCGGCCACAGCCGCCTCAGCTCAGTCGAGCGGTACGATCCGGCAGTGGGCGCGTGGGAGGCGGTGGCTCACATGGCGGCGGCGCGGTTTGCTCACGCTGTGGCGGCGCTGGACGGCAAGCTGACGCTGTGGGAGGCTACAGCGGCGACGGCAGCTACCTCAGCTCAGTCGAGCGGTACGACCCGGCGACGAACGCGTGGGAGGCGGTGGCGCCTATGGGGACGGCGCGGGACTCTCACGCCACGGCAGTGCTCGACGGCAAGCTCTATGTCGCAGGCGGATTGGGTACCGGCCACAACCGCCTCAGCTCGGTGGAGCGGTACGACCCGGCGTTGGATGCGTGGGAGGCGGTGGCTCCGATGGCGGCGGCGCGGGTGCGGCCGCTCATGTGCTGCGCGTGCGTTCACCGCGTTTCTTTCGCCGCACTGTGAATGAGCTTGCCTGTGGCGGGGGCGGGCGGGTGCACGGAGCTAAGTGCCTCGCCGTCCTCGCGGGAGTCGCTGTAACATGTGTCTCGGACTCGGTTCTCGGTCGTGTCTCTAGCGCGCGCAGCGCAGAGAAAAAAACCGGTGTACATAATGATATTGTGGGTGGCACTCCCGCGCAGCCTTGGCCGGCACCGCGGCACGGGCAGGCTTATCGTATACAGACAACGGTCACCTTGACGCTGAAGTGGCGCGCCCCTCGTGCTCCTGCGGCTCTGTTGCGCCGCGAAAGTAGGCGCGCTTGCGTGGCCTCACGGCACACGGGCGAGTGAGAGGGGTTCGAGAGAGGGCGAGTTGCCGCTCGCGAGACGCGAGGCGCGCTCAGGCGGCGACGGAGCGGTCGATGCCGCCGATCGCGTTCTCCGCAGTGCGCAGCACGCGGCCCTCGAGCCCGAGGTCGTCGAGGTGTGCGACCGAGGCGGGGTCCTCGTGCTCGAGCAGGCCGACCATCGCCTTGCCGAGGTTGGTCGACCTCGCTGTCGCTGTCGCTGTCGCTGTCGCTGTCGCTGTCACTCGCAGGGTCCCGCGCTGACATTGTCACCGCCTGTCGCTGGCGTTCACTGGCTTCACTGTCACTGTCACTATGGCTGTCACTGTTCCTGGGTGCCTTTCACTCCTCCCTGGCAGCTGGCTGTCACCAGCTGTCACCAGCTGTCACCAGCTGTCACCAGCTGTCGTTGCTGCTGTCGTTGCTGCTGTCGTTTCGCAGCCGCTGTCACGACATATTGACCACGTCGCGACCGTTAACAGCCGTTTTAACCGTCATGACGTGAACTTTCCATAGTCTCTTAGCACCATTTTTCTTTTTTTCTCCCTTGGCGGCGTGCCGACTGCCGTCCGTATGGTGTGTATGGTGCGTTTCTTTCTTTCTTTTCGGTGTACCTGTGTTAGTGCCAGTGCGCGCCAGTCCCGTGCCCAGTGTTGTGCGAGGGAGTTTTCAGTAAAAATCTTTTCGTGCCGACTCTCCGACTCGCATGCTCTCCACGCGGACACGGGGGACTGGCGCGCACACACTCTCGAGCGCGCGCACACACAAGCAAAGGACTTTCTGCGTGTAAGTGTGTAAAGGAAAAAACACGGAGCGCGCTCTCGAGCCGCCTCACCAACCGCTCGCCGTCTATGACCGTTGAGAGACCCGGGCCGTCACTCCTTGGGCCCGTTCCAGGCCATGTTGAGCGCGCCGGCCGGGCCGCCGACGGGGAAGAACCAACCAAACATCATCATGAGGATGTGCCCGACAAAGATAAGCGGACACCAGACCTTGAAACTGGTGCCGAGGGTGGCAAAGATGGAGCCGCCGGTGAGACCAAAGTGGAGCAGCGCAGCCACGAAGAGGTGGATTATTTGGTAGTTTGGCTGGGTGACGGCCTCGCAGGGCATGGCAAAGCCGCCGTAGTAGCTGTACGCAAGAGGGTAGAACATGCGGAACGCCGCGTAGATGGTGCCGCACGACGTGGCGATGGCGGCGTCGACGCAGGCGGCGACGCCCCACAGGCAGGCGAGGAACGGCGCTCCCTGCTCAAGCGTGTTGGCCAGGCCGCGCTCGCCAATCTTGGAGGCCTGCTCGCCCGCGCCGCCCAGCTTGGCGCTGAGCTGCGCGCCGATGGCGTTGTACGCGCCCCATACCCAGAGGGTGGTGACCAGGATGGGCCCGCGGGCCATGTCGAGGGACGCTATGGGGCCCGACGGCGGCGTGAGAGCGATGGCGCCCGCGACTATCGCCGCACCGGCTACAAAGAGATGCGGCAGCTTGGAGGTGTCGAACGAGTCCGAACCCCACGGGAACTGCGCGACCTGTGATGTGGCCAGCGGGCGCTCGGTCGTAGCTGGCTTGGAGGCAGCGAGCGCAATGCCGCGGTTTCGCAGGTAGACGGCGAGGCCATAGCTGACGCCGACGCCGGCCGCGATCGCTGCGCCGAGCTGCATGATGTCGTGTGCCACCGAGCGCTCGCCTATCGAGTAATACGGGAGGCTGCGGTACGGCGTGCGTTGAGCGTGCCGAAGGTCGCCTCAAAATGGCGATCCGGAAATCGCGCGCGCGGGAAGGGCACAGAGCCGATCACAAGGGGCAGCCGATAGAGCTCTAAACTAAAACGACAAAACAATTTTCAGCTGCGCCGCGCTGGCGCGCATTGGCACAAACAGGCACACCACCTAAGCGACTCCGTTAGAAAAAGGATTTTACATCAAAAGGCGGTCGCACGACACGATTCACGCGACAGGCGAGGTGCGGGCGAGGCTTCCGCATTCATAACTTAGAAAAGAATTTTACAACAAAACTCCCGACACTGGACACGGGAATGGCGCGCACTGGCACTAACACGGAAAAGAATTCTCAAATGGATATAAATCGGGGATACCCATCACTGAGCCGACGATGCTACGGGTAGCCCCAGGGTGGTGCCCACCCCCATACCCTCTGGCACTTGCCTGCGCCCTGGCCGCGCATGCCGCGCACGCGCGCGCACTCTCAAACTACAGGCTGTTTTCGGCATAAATTTCCTTCGTTTTGACGCGCGCTCACGCCTCTGCGCACCGCGCCTCGGCACCGGCTTTGCTGCCACCGTGTCGAGGACGCCCAGCCCTCGCATGGTTGAAGGTCCCAACAACTCATTCCATCGCCAAGTTGCTCGGCGGCCGCGCAATGCGGAGACCACCGAAAGCACTGCAGATGAGCCGTAAAACATGCCTGCACCTAGCTGCAGACGTGCCCACATTCTCCTCGGTGTCGTATCTGAGGCGGATTGACCTGGATTTTGACTCCACCGCCGCCACGGTGCATGGAAACCACCCTGGCGGCGCCCGTGGACGTCGAACGCTCATGCGCCGAGTCTTCTGTAGCCACAGCAGCAGCTACGGCGGCGCAGACTGGCGGCAGCCTGCACGGCAGTAGTCCAGTATGACTGTGGTGCGGTGCGGCGGTCGACAGCCGGCGGCATCAAATGCGGAGTGATCGCGGGCAATGCGGACTCCACCGTGACGCCACAGAGCCGCGGTGCGAGCCATGTGGCTCTATACACCGTCGCAAAACTGTCGCAGGACGAGCGGCGCCAGCTGGTAGCTGGGGCCGCAGGGCGGTCAGGCCAACACCGTATGCTAGTCGGAGTGGATTGTCTAGAGGTGTAAAGGTCGGTAGAGTGTCCGTTTGTGGCCTCCGGACGGGCTCTGGTCGGGAGCCCGCCGGGCCGGCTGAGGCTGTGTGTCCGTCCACTATGGACCCAGTGGTGGCTTAGAAGTGCTCTCTGGGAAGTACACATCCTATATAACACCTGCGGACCGGAAGGTACCGCCGTGGCGCCGCGAGGGGCCGTTTAACCCTAGTAGGGGGCGGATATAGTGTCGCTGTTTTCGAAAGGCGCGCTGACGGCCCGGCGCGTACCGCGCGACGCCCGGGCTACCCACCAGTGAAAGGCCTATACCAACCCTTCAAAATGACCTACTAACTTTGGTACACTCTCACTTTGATATTTCCCGCGGTGCACACTCAAAGTCCGGAAATCTAGCAGACGCGCGCGTTTTGGCCGGCTACCCCATCGGGTCGCACGGAGACGCGGGTAGGCCTCCGCAAGCCGCCTCCGGGTGCAGGGGCCCGGCGCGGTGGGCGGGGGCAACGGCCCGGTAGCTGGCCGCGCCTCTCCGCCCCGCCCGTCGCCGCTGCACCCCTTGCCGCGGCCCTCGTCGCTGCTGCAGCGACGACAGCCGCGGCACGAGGTCAGAACGCGGCCTCGGAGAGCCCGAGCGAAGGCGCCGACGGTGGCAGCCGTGGTAGTGATTGATGGTAGAAGGCTCCTGAGCCGTCGGGCACCACGCTCGACGTCGCCGAGCAGCCGCACCCGGCGCGAGCGCCTGCGCGTCGGCGGGTGCCACCGAAGGCGGGTGGGCAGCGCCGGGCGGGGCGGCGGAGCTTCTCGAGGCGCGCACGTGCCCCGCGGGTCGTGCGCCGAGGCAGACACTCCGCCCGCGCTGACGACCATGACAGCATAGGGCTTCCTATCCTTGCTCAGAGTCTTCTTCCTCTGGCAGGGGCGGGCCGCGGCCGCCCATGCTGTGCACCATCAGGCCCAAATTGTCATGGGTGGACGTCATCTGCTGGCGAAGCGACCGGTTGTCCAGTATCGATACGGGGTTGCCAGAGATAACCCACACACGCTTCGCCTCGAGATAGACACGCTACGCGATTCGTCGGGGCGTGACGGGGCTCGGCAAAATCCAACTTCACAGGATTTCAAGTAGCGTGAGCTACGATGCATCAGTGTACCAGCGCCGTGTGCATGCCGCGCATCATTAGGGCGATGCGGGGCGTCTACCCATGACATTCGCGCGTCAAGATGAAGGCGCGTGAAGACGAAAACAGCTTGTAAAAGGTAGACAAGAATTTTCACCCGCGCCGCGCTGGCGCGCATTGGCACAAACAGGTACACCACCTAAGCGACTCGGTTAGAAAAGGATTTTATAAAAAAGGCGGTCGCACGACACGATTCACGCGACAGGCGAGGTGCGGGCGAGGCTTCCGCATTCATAACTTAGAAAAGAATTTTACAACAAAACTCCCTCCCCCGACACTGGACACGGGAATGGCGCGCACTGGCACTAACACGGAAAAGAATTCACAAAAAAGGATATAAATCGGGACGCCGTGCCCGTGACAAGTCCGACAGAGATTGCCGAGTGGTTCTGCAAAAACTGACCGCTCTGGCGACTCGTGCGGCGGTCGGTACCGTGCCTCCCTCGCCAGTGCTCCGATCCCGCCATGCTGGACGCTGACGGCTTGCGAGTCGAGCCTCAGCTCGCCGCGGCGGTGCTGATCCAGGTTCGCGTGCGGGAGGTGCAGCAGCGCCGACAGGAGTGCACCATCTGCCTCGAGCCCATGGAGAGGCCGACTCCCTGGCCTGCAGGCTGCGGGCATAGCTTTTGCCACCACTGCGTGACGCGGTGCGCTCACGCCGACCGCTCGCTGCGCTGCCCCCTCTGCCGCAAGGCGCCGCCGCCTCCGGCCAAACCACCGCCGCTAAAATGGTACGTGGTCGCCACTCCGACTGGAGGGATGGTCGCCTGCCTTTGCCCGACAGAGCGGGATGGGCTGCAGGCAGCGAATGACACGTTTGACCACGGTTTCAGCCGGATGGTCGAGCTGACCACCGACGACTACTGGCGCCTCCTCCACCGGCGCGGCCCGCCGCCGCGACTGAGGTTGCGCGATCGGGCGGTGGCGAGGCTCCGCCTGCCCGGGCGGCCGAGGCGGCCAGCGACGGTCCCCGCGTGGCGTTTCCGCGTCCCGCGCCCCGGACCGATCGAGAGCGCGCTCATCTTTCTCGGGGAAGGCGTCGAAGAACTCCTGGAGCTCTTCGAATGAGGCGGCGAGCGTTCCCCACGTGGGGGCGAGGCCGACGCTAGCCGTCGAGGCCCCGTCGCCTCGTTTGCAGAGCACTGCCACACGTTCTTTGCTGCCGGCTTGCGCTCGGTTGGGGTCGGCGGCAGCAGCGGGCGCCATGGACTGTGAAAGAGATTTGTTTTGTTTTCGAGAGGCGAGGTGCTAGTTTTGATTTCACGATCAATAATAACATGGTGGCAAAACGGAGTGAGTGCTGACCCGGAAACTTCGTTCC